TGAAGGGGTTTTATTCCCTCCCTAACTTCAGGGGAAAATCTCTACCTGGGGAAACAACCTTTCTCGGAGAGGTGACCTTGGTTAAAACACATAGTGCCAAGAAGGTGAGCAAATATATTAAGAACAGTATGCCATATATGCCAGGTCCCTTGAAACAGCAAGGATGGACCGACTCCCGGCAACCCCCCTCCCTCTTGGAAGTGACACAAATGTCTCCAAACATTGTCAGATGCCATGGGCGGGGGGTGGGGGGGAGGTGATGTGCCCCCCATTGAGAACCTCGCTCTAGAGACCCTTCCGCCCCAGAGCAGCGGTCCCCAGCGTCAGCTGATCGTCGGCACCACCTGCGTGGTGTGCTTGCTTTTTCAAATACTGATGCTCAAGCCCACGCTTGACCAATCAGATCAGACGCTGTGGGCATGGACCCTGGCCTCGGAGGGTGGAGACGCTCGCGGGGGAGTCCTACGTGCAGCTGATGTGGAAACCACTGCCGGGGGATTCGTCCCTGAGGAGAAGCTGGAGGTTGTAGACGGCAGAGACTAGACCCCCACCCACCTTATCCCCCAAGAGAGAATCTGATAAGGGGAATAAGTGAGCGCCAAACGAGAGGGAGGGCAGGGGGACAGTGAAAAAAAGAAATGATCAGGGGAAATGACTAGAATCAGGGAGTGTCGTCTTATGTGTTATGGTTACTGGTAGAATGAAATGAATGGATAGACATGGAATGGAATGGTTGAATAGCTAAGTGGATGGATGGATGGATGGATGGACAACAATTGCTTGAATTATTGAAAAAAGAGTGAATAAAATATGAACATTTGGATGACTGGATGGGTAGGTGAATACGTGGGTGGGTGATGGGTGGATGGATGGATGGATGGCAGGCATGTGTGGAAGCTGGGAATGGCTCCCTCAGAGACAACTAACAGTAAATATGACCCTTTTGTTTCCCTTTCCCTAGTGACCTGAGCAACAACAGCATTGGCGTGCTGACCAACTACACCTTCAGTAACATGTCACACTTGTCCACCCTGTGAGTACAGGGCAGGGCTGGGCCCTCCTTTCCCCACCCCTCAGGCCACCCCTGTGCTCCGTGATCCTCAGCCTGTGGCTGCCCTGCCCAGGCCAGGCCCTCACCTCAGAAGGAGAACAGAGCTGCTGCCTGGCCGTTAGACAGGGCCTGGCCCGCAGGCCTTCTGGAGAGGCCTCTAGGATTCCTTCTGTGCCGTGTGAGGTTCCGTCCAGGGGACGTTTCCGTACACGATTACACTTTGCTCAGGCCCATTCGTTTCCCATGAGCTCTGCACACGGAGAACACTCACCATTCTACAGTGGAGGCGGTGCTGGCAGAGCTGGCTGGGTGACTCTCTGCCAGCCCGCAGGGGACCCAGAAGGAACCGGGCACAGATAGCCAGTGAGCTCGCTGGAGTAGTGGGAGAGGGCCCTCTCTGTGGGGGCTACCCTCTGTGGTGGGGGTGACCCTCCATCACAGGGGATGATGCTCTGTGGTAGGGGGTAACCCTCCATGGGGGGGAGGGGTGACCCTCCGTGGTGGGCGGTGAGGCTCTGTGGTGGGGGTGACCCTCCGTGGTGGGGGATGACGCTCCGTGGCAGGGGGCAACCCTCTCATTGTTAAGCTGCTCTTGTCAATACATCCAAATGGGGAAGATAAGCCCCTGGCTCTGACGGCCCCAGGGTGGGCAGTGCACCTGTGAGCAGCTGAGACAGGAAGACCAACAGGGCACTGTGTCCTTTTCTGCAGGATCCTGAGCTACAACCGGCTGCGCTGCATCCCCGTCCACGCCTTCCACGGGCTGCGGTCCCTGCGAGTGCTGTGAGTACAGGGTGCCCTGTGCCGGGTGACAAGGGCAGTGCTGAGCACTCCTTCCCCGCTCTCCGTGGTCCCAGGCCCCCCACTTCCTCTACGGTGACCTCCCCCCCAGCACCCTCACTTGCTGAATGGGAGGAAAGAGCATTCGCCTTTCCCGGTTCCAGACCACGACCACATAGGGAGCCTTGAGCAAGCTGCCACCTCTGAGTTCCTACCTGTTTACGCGTAACTGGAACCCGTAGCGCCTCCCTGTGGGGTTTGGGAGATGCGGTTACACAGCACGTGTGAGGCCTGGGGCCGCTATTTTGAGGATCACTGTTTCGCAGTTGGTCCCTCGGCTTCAGAGGGGCGAGGCCAGCACTGTGACCCTCCACAGGGAAACCCTGCACCCGAGAGCTGGGGGCTCAGGGCCCGGCCCGCAGACAGCTGTCAGTCAGCAATTGGACAGTCTGCTCTTAGGGTCTCTTTTTCACAGAACAGTGTCAATAAGTTGCCGACATTTAAATATCAGGAGGTTTCTCATACAAACCCTAGGGAAATGGAGAGGCTT